GAGAGGGCTGAAAGCCCTATGAAGCGGTATATAAGTCTAACTGCTATTGCTATTGCTATTTGGACTGAGAAGAAGCAACTCCACATCTGCACAGGTCAGGCCAAGGAATATCTGCTGTCATGTTTAAGACCGGGGCCTAATCTTCTGCTGCTCTTTCCACTACTGCAGGTTTTCCTTGCTCTAACTGTAGGCTACGGAGAAATCAGAAGCCTGCATCCAAATGGGTCAGGCCAAAAGATGTTTGCCCTTTGCCCTGTATCAAGGCACTGAGTTAAGACTCTAGGAGTTTTTGGTCTGGCCAGAGCTGCATTTTCTTCAATCTAAATCATGGGTGGGTTGGCATTACTGTTGGTTCGGCATGCAAAGTTTTCCCGACTCTTGGGGGCAGTGCTCATCTCCGTTTCAAAGCCGAAGAATCAGCGCTTTCAAACTGTTAGGCTGGGAGAAGCTGGGACAAGTAACGGGAGGTCACTCCATTACGTGACACTAGGGATTCAACCCACCAAACTGCCAACCTTTCTGATTGACAAGCTCAACGTCTTAGCCACTGAGCCACCACGTCCCTACCATACGTATAGAATGCAACAAAATCTCAGTAAAAATTCTATCCCCTTTTTTGTTGGCTATGCTGGTTGTTGCATGCAGCATTCAACAATGAAACCCCATATCTATATCTGAATTTACACTATCAATTTGTACCACCTCCTCACCTTGCTCACATATACTCAGGGTGTCGCTTTCTGTTGATCAGAAGTATTTATGTCTAGGCATGGAGAGAAAACTGAAGTAGCTATTTCCCCACAAATAAACATTGAGTAGCAGAGAAAGATTCTAACCTTGGCTGTTTTACTTTTCTATTTGTATAAAGTTTTTCATGTATGGAAGAATTTAGAAATAGCTGTCTGAAATGGTCTGGTCTTGTCTAGCTCACCTCAAGCCATTTCTTTTTGCTTTGTGAATAAAGCAGGCAAAGTGCCAAGCAATTTGCAGAAAGGTAGCTATTTTATCTTTCTGAATAAAAACTTTGGGAGGGGCGAAATACAGCACCCTAAAGAACCTTCTCTGTAGACTTCAGTCATCAAAAGCTTACAAATCCATTTATGATTGTAGTGACAAATTAGCCTGAGTAATATACCCTGTATAAAAAGTAAGAGCTCATGCCATAAGGAACCAGTAGTATATACTGCAACCCATAGTTTGATAATTAGAACCAGAGTCACTGGCATATAACAATAATCTGTGTTTTTCTAGGTGTCAAAGTCTTCTCTGCTGTGTTTACTGCTCTGATAAACGTTGAAGACCTTCAGAACAAGCCAATAAGTCATGCATTGAACTAACATCTAAGTGGAAATGTTCATCCAGAGTTTTCAAATTATATTATTTCAGATTTAATATCCAAATTTATGACAGGGTCAGCAGTCTTTTTATGTGGAAAGCATCGCATGCAATTTCATGCATTACTGCAGGCAACCATATACTATATATAAATTACATTTTAAAATTAAATGAATTTCGTAAACAAACAAATAAAATATATTTGTTTTAATTGAAAGGACCTTCATCTTATAACATTTCATGGGCGGTTTCAAGATTTAGCTCTCTTGACCTCTCTTGGATTATTGTTATTGTTGTTGTTATTTAATTTTGAAGGTAAGTGAACTCAGTTAAGGGTCTTGTGAGTGCTAAATGATTTTGGAGAACTTGTTGCTAATCCTTAATATATGAAAATATTGCCTTAAGTTTCTTGAAACATTTTTTCTGACTATTAGAAGCTGCCTATTAAATGGATTGACTCTTAGAACATAGAATAGCTTGGTCCAACTTGGAGCAAATATAACATTTGTACTGAATTTGCTTACGTAAAGTGCTGAATTTGGAGTTCTATAGCAAGTTTTATGAAAGAATTTCAGGGAAAAAACAGGTTGAATTTTCCAGGGTATCACAATATATTTTATCTACATTATAGTTTGTTATTTATCTATATCTAGCATGCCTATTTACCAGCCTCCTGGCTACAGGGCATGTTTTTGTAAATGTGACCAGTATATTACAATACATAATTATTTAATAATAAGTTCCAGAACTTTTAACAGCTGGAAATCCATAGTTAATGGATAAAATACATTTATTTTATGGAGATTATAGAAGAGAGATTACTGCTTGTTGTATAATTTATTGTATCCACATATGAAAAAGAAGTTTTCAAATACATAGAAGAACTGCAGGAAGCTTGCAGGAAATGCAGAAGGAAATAGCAAGAGAGCAGAATGACCTTGCACTGTTTTAATGCAACTAAAGTACTGTAAAAAAAAAAATCTTAGTCATGATTGAATTTCCTGCCACATCTTTTACCAAAAAGGAAAGCTGCTAATTGAGCAGAGAAAATTCACAATGAAAAAAAGAACAGAAAATGAAATATACAATATTTTTTTCTAGATTTCTCATACTGCCTAATCTTTAAGAAGACACAATTATAGTTTTGGTCAATTTATTCCTAAACATCCATACAGAACAAGTCTAACTAAATTGTATTTAATTCAGTTAAAATCATTCTTAAAACTTTTGTATAATTAAAACCTGAATTCCTGTTTAGTGAAGGTTTTTGAATGTGAGCTGAATGGCCATATGTTGGGAGTGTTTTTCCCCACCATTTCTAACGATTTAGTCAATTATTGTGATGAGCAGAAGGTTGAATGAGATGACCTATATTGGTCCTTTTGTTATTTGGAGCAACATATTTGGAGTTAGAGAGTTTCTCTACTAAATAGCAACAAATAAACATACAATAATTTATATAATTGCAACAAAGTAACAATTATATTATCCTAACATAGTTATTGTGAGCCCTGCAAAGTTGCTTAAGATGGGCATCCCTATAACTATTTTAAATAAAATAAAAAATAAAAATTGTCTATCTCTCTGTCCTAATCCTAAACCCCAAAAAGTATATCCAAATAACGAGACAGCCAATGGTAATTGAAACAGTACTTGTGGGAGCAATGTTCTTCAAATTCAATTCAAGAAATAGAATATCTAAATAATAAGTGAGAGAGAATTCAAACACATATGTTTCAGAATTCAACCAATTTATCTGAGGTGCTTTAAACTACTATTCAGTGAGTAGTAGTATACATAATTACAGATGAAGTATAAATAAATCAAACTAACCTGAATTTGTCCTTCTCTTGAAGATTTACCTCAATGTTTATATGAACAAATTTGGAAC